AGATAAGATATAATAATAATTTATAAATTAGTAAAGGTCCACGAGGGAGGGGGGAGCAGGGAGGGAGGGGGAGGGGAAAAGGGAAAATGAGGAGCTAATTCCAGGAACCCAAGCGGAAAGCGAATTTTGAGAATGATGAGGGCACAAATGTATAAGTGTGCTTTACACAACTGATGTATGTATGGATTGTGATGAATTGTATGAGCCCCAATAAAATGATTAATTAAAAAAATGTTCATGGAAAAATTCCATTGTCTTTCAATTCTTTCAATTCATTCTCCACACATTTTTGGAGACTTATCTTATGTCATAATCACTCCTGACAATAATTTCCAAGGCCCCTTTAGTGGACATGCTAGTTACAGGCTATGGCTCCATTCTAAATGCAATCATCCATAGCTTAAAATATCACAATCCAAATACCTTGTATGAATTTGGAGTTTTTGTTTTTGTTATTTTGCCATAAGCAATGATTTTAATAACACAGTTGACAATGAACTCTATCAAGTTTCCTGAAGAATAAAGTTAACTAAGATTAAATCTCATCCATAAAAGAAAAGCCTTTGTTAACTCTTTCCTGTTATTTTAGTTATCTCATGCTGCAAAAACAAAAATGCAAGTAGGAAATATATCTGGTTTTGTGCCTTTCACAGCCCTTACACAGTGTGAGTACTCATAAGATACATGAATTAATGCATTAGAAGATAAATGAGTAAATCGATTGAGTTAGGAATGCCATGAGAGGGGATAAGGATACTTGGGAAATGTTTTTTTTTTCATTTGAAGTCCATATATGTGTTGGTCAGGGTTGAGTAGAGAAACACATTGATAAACACTCATATGTGTATAAGAAAGAGCTTTATATAAAAGAGCAATTATATATTGAGAAAATATCCCAGCCCAGTCCAGATCAAGTCCATAAGTCTGATATTAGCCCATGTCTGATACCAATCTATGAACTCCTCTTCAGACTCAGGAAAACACATGCAATGATCTGAATGCAGGAAGATCACAGGCCAGAGGATGGAAAGTCGTGTGGATCCAGTGGTGGTGGAAGCATCTCTGCACTGGCAGGGGTCTCCATGTGGCTCCTGCTGCTCCAGGTCTCTAAGGTAGCTCCATGTGTCTTGTCAATAGGAATGCCTTGCAGGGAGTGAGTGTGCGTCCCACCTCCAGCAAGCTATTTATCTCCTTAGTGCCTACAAATGAGGTCATCAAGCTACAACCTGATTGACAGGCTAAACTCCACCCCTTCACTCTCAATACTCTCAAATTGACAACAGATTATGTAACTACCACAATATGATATCCGCATGTGAAAATGTTCAATAAATTATGAGAAGAGGACAGAAGTAAAGATGCAGAGTTGAGCATATTGCAACTAAAAAATCCTGCAAAAGGTCTGAAATGGAATGATCACTGAGGTTCTGCATACCTAAAGCACAAGAGAACATAAGAGACTCAAAGGAGGACAATCATGTTCTGAAGGAAGAGAAATAGCCTAGTCCCTTTTTCCAGGACTCTAACAAGATGCTGGACAATCTGATTGAATATGCCTATGAAAAGCAGCTAAGCACCTACCAATATAAGAAGACAGTCCTGTTGGAAGAAGCTGGCAAGGAGATGCTCCCCAGTTATTACAAGAACATGAGGATAGGCTTCAAGATATCCCAGGACGTCATTGAGGGCACTTTCACTGACAAGATATACCCCTTCAATGGTAAGGGCTCGATCTGGGACATATTCTATTTCCATGACCAAGATGAAGATGCAGGGGACAAATGCCATCTGTCAAGTAGCCTCCACTATACCTACAAATACATATTTTGGAGACATGCCAAAGACATGCCAAAGACATGCAAAGGATGCCAAGACATCCCTTGTTTGAGGGATGTCCAAATTCGCCACATCTTCATGGGTAAGTGCCAGTCTCTGAGCAAGGGCATGCACTTCAATGTGCTCAAGGTCACCAATGAGGCTTGCACCAAGAAGCAGTGCCAGGAGTTTTGAGCCTGCCTGCCTACCCTGCAAGTGAAATAAAGTTATTTTCTCCACCAACACACACAAACCCTAAAAGGGTGTTTATAAATAATGGGTCATTGCCAAATGACCTTGAAAATGTGGTAGCACGTTGACACCACTGACTCCAACTCATTTCTCTTTAAGAGACAGAACAGTAAAACAGAGCCTCACAGCCACTTAGTTCTCTTGGTTGGAAAATACTATGCGCATAACATCTTTTAGTCCTCACATGGGATCAGTTATGGTCCCATTACTGTCTCCATGAGAATGAGAAAGAAAATGAATTTCAGGGTGTGAACTCGGCCTGGGCAGCACGGTAAGGAAATAAAGATACTAGGGTCCCAAAGCCCATAATCCTTCA